ACTTTACTGTGGCCTGGCGTGGACACTGAACCATGTTGTTATTCCTTCGCACGATCCACAAAAGCTTAAATAAGTATAGTTCTTTTTTCCTTCCATTAACCAATAGGTAAAATTCGAGTTATGTTAATTTCCATGGAATGACGATGCTGCTATGTACTGAAAAATTAAGGAGAAAAAGAAGAAAGAAACTCGACCTTTCGGTGTAATAATTATGTTTCGGTCTGGTAGTTGTGCAAATGAGGAAACGAGATGTTTGGAAATCACTCGATGTTCTAAAAATAAGATTATCTGAGCTCAGGACTTTCACTACCCTCAAAAGACTCGAAAGAGCGTCATTACTCCGACTTGATTTCAGTTTTGGATTACATATATCGAGTTTGCGTTTTTATACTTTTAACCTTCTTGTAATTTATTTATTTTATTTATTTTTTATTTTTTCTTTTGTAGACACTCTATCAACATAAAAATCAGAATGAATGCCATTTATCACATTCTCTTTCTTTGAATTCTACTGCCATGCCGAAGAATGTACAATGTCGTTAGCATATAACTCCACATTTTCGCTTTCGTTTTAAAATAAAAAACACGTACTGATTCTTGTAACAGCATATTCTTCAGTAGAATTTAGTCGGTTACCAAATATCGGCTTGACCAAAAAACTGGGGCTTCCTCAGTCTCAAACAGGTCATAAAGAAGGGATAGCAAACTAAACGCACGAGAATTCGTTGCTTTTATAGCAAGAAAAAATAAACGAATTAAGAATATAGATCATGATAACTTATTATAAGCTCCATAAACGTATGGCGACAATATAGAAACTGGAAGAGTTTGCTGACCTTAGCTAAGACATTTTGGGATTTTAACAACATTTAAATAATAATTTTGCGTCAGTGTTGGCCTACAAGAATCAACCAAGATGGCGTCTCGGCTGGCGCAGTAATGGGCGATTTATCTTTGAACAATATTTCGTTTACAAATTCAGATTTTCTTTTCTTTTTAAGATCACTGGCCATTCATAGCGTCACATTTATTTTTTATAACTGGCATTTTTTCTCTTCAGATGTTTCGAGATCTTGCGATACCATTCGAATTGAATATTGAATTTTAATTTGTTCGGTACTGGCGGCCATCTTGGATTTCTCGGACAAAAAACAGGAGCGTTATTACTATGATGAAATGGAATATTTGATGATGAGTGGAATTTGTGGGAAATGTTCATCACTGGGGTATTTGATAAGAAAATTGATAAAGGTAGCGTCATCGAAATATTGATAAACAATAGTTTGACAGACATTTTGACATATTTTTCGTTATTAGACCATTATGAGAAATATTATAATAAGGCGTTACTAAGAGATGTTTTCAAAACTAACCAATAAACGTTGAGTCAGTGTGGGTTAACACCCGTGAGGTCATACTGTGCCACCAGCTTTCTGAATCTTAAACGCATTGAACTGTTTCTTCGTTGAGGAAGAGCTCTGCCAACTTGCTCTTAATGTAGTCAGAAAAATACTCTTGATTTCCAGGCGTGGGAAACAAGACTATTATTCATAGGATTATGGTGGTGTAGTTTGCTCACTGAAGTGCGGAAGACATCCAAACAAAAGAAATGTCGTTTATCTCGATTTCTGAGAATCAAGCTTTGAAGGAAACAAATTTCTCGCAAAGTCTTATTTGATAAGACACAGTTATTCACTTTTGAAGTAAGTGAAAGTACATTTTTTCATTATATTGTACTGTGTGTTAGAACAGCAGACAAAAGTGATGAAGGCAAAAAACAAAATGGCGCCGGAGCACTAATTTGCTTTAGCTGAAACTCCGACGTGACCGAATCGAACTGTATCAAACCAKGTGCCTGGTTATGGTAGACTTCAAAAATAACATAATGTAGAGATTGAATAAAATAGAATCGAAAACTTCAGTTCACACGATCATCTATAGGAAGTTACATAGCGGGCCCCAAATCTGTCATGGTATAGAGCTTGCGAAGTAGCAACTAAGAAGCTGCTCCTAGATGGGTCGTGTAACATTTATTACGAAGGCTACTCGAATGACAGGGTAAACTCGAGTCATTTGACTTAGTTGACTGAGTCTTGTTGCCAACATGAGTACACGCCATTTAGTTTATGGCAAAGGTTTGAAAATTTTTTTTGAATATCTACGAATGTTTTTGATATAACATGAGGCACTTTTCTGTGACGATTTCCTTTTATATATACATGCGTTTATGCATGGTTGTGAAAACACAGGCTGTTGCTTCATG